CAGTAGAAGTTTTCAAAGTGACACCCTAAGCAGTGAGGAATTCTTTCCAAAAACAGCTAATGAAGAAGGGATCTCTGTCACTAGTAATAGAAGCAGGGAAACCATGGATCTTGAAAATGTTGTCCATAAAGATAGGAACAAGGGAATGAGCAGTGTAGGGATGAGATAAGGCAATAAAATGAGCATGCTTAGTTAGTCGATCAACTATGACCCATATAACAGATTTCCCTTTAGACTTAGGGAGACCTTCAATAAAATCCATGGTGATGTTAGTCCAAGGGAGAGCAGGTATGGGCAAGGGTTGTAGAAGACCAGTAGAGGCTCCAATATCATATTTATTTCTCTGACATACAGAGCATTTGTGAATATAGCTGATGATTCATTTTTGATCCCTTTCCAATAAAAATAGGTGAGCACCTTCCTAGTGGTAGCATCAATCCCAAAATGACCACCAAAGGGATAGGAATGCCAAAGAGTAAGGATTTTGGACCTCAATGCAGCATCATTTCCAACCAGTAGTTTATCTTTCCTTCGAAGCTGGTCATTCAGCCACGTGAAGTTATTTTGAGGCTGCTGTTGTAAGGAAGCAATGAGAGATTGAAGCTCTGGATCATCTTGCCAACTTGCTTGGATTTCCTGCCATAAATCAGCTTGGACTGAAGATACCATCATCACCATGAGTGCTGCACCTTGAACTCTAGATAAAGCATATGGAACAATATTTTCTTTACCTTGTTTGTATTGAACTTCAAAATCAAAGGGCAGAAGTTCGGATAGCCATTGGATTTGGGAATTAGTGTGTAAATTTTGCTCCAATAAGTATTTCAATGCCTTCTGGTCGGTTCTAACAATGAAATATTGGCTGAGAAGATAATGTGTCCATTTGGTCATAGCAAAGACCAAAGCTAGGAGTTCCCTTTCATAAATAGATAGAACAACATGCCTAGGTGCTAGGCGTTTGCTGATGAAAGCAATGGGGTGATTATTCTACATAAGGACAATCCCAATGCTAGTGCCACTGGCATCAGTTTCAACAACAAAATGTAAGGAATAATCAGGAAAAATTAGGACAGGTGCAGTAGTTAAGACCAATTTAAGTACAGAGAAGGACTGTGAAGCAGCATCAGTCCGTAAGAAGTTGTCTTTCTTCAGCATATCTGTCAAAGGTCGACTGATAAGGCCATATCCTTTGATGAATTTCCTATAGTAGCCAGCCAAACTAAGGAATCCCCTCAATTGTTTAACATTGACAGGGGTAGGCCACTGCTGCACTGCTGCTATCTTCCTGGGGTCAATAGCAACACCTTGAGCTGATATGAAGTGACCTAAGTACTCCACACTTGGAACCCGAAATACACACTTAGAATGTTTTGCTAAGAGGTTGTTCTACACCATCAGCTTGAAGACTGTTTGTAAGTGTAGGACATGATCTTGCAAAGTCCTACTGTATACTAGGATATCATCAAAGAAAACAGGTACAAACTTTCTCAACTCCTGAAAAAATGATTCAATAAGCATTGAAAGGTGGATGGGGCATTAGTGAGGCCAAAAGTCATAACCAAGTACTCATAAGGCCCCCTGTGAGTTTAAAAGAAGTTTTGGAAACATCCTTAGGAACCATTCTGATTTGGTGGTATCCAGATCTTAGATCAATCTTAGAAAATATAGAAGCACCTGCTAATTCATCTAACAAATCATCAATGATAGGAATAGGATACTTATCCTTAACAATGCACTAATTCAGTTCTCTATAATCAACACATAATCTCCAGGTTCCATCTTTTTTGCCCACCACCACTACAGGTGAAGAAAAAGGGCTGTTGCTATACTGTATGACTCCTTGCTGCAGCATCTCTTTAACTAGCTTTTCAGTTATGTCTTTCTTCATGGGAGAGTATCTGTAAGGTCTAATATTTATTGGTTTGGTTCCTGGATGTAAAGGAATCCTATGATCAAATGCACCCGTTTGTGGTGGCAGTGTTGTAGGTTCTGAGAACACTTGTTTGTAGCTATCAAGAAGCTCACTGAGTGGTTGAGGTAAGGTTGCATCATCAGGAAGATTCATGGCATGCAGGAGCCCTTCACCCTCAGCATCAAAGAGGGTATATCAATTTTGACTTGCAGCATAAATAACTGAGCATCATCACTTTGATATCTGTTAACAACTTTAGGACTAGAGAGTCTGCAATTTTCTGATACTCCCTTCAAAATGTGTTGCTCACCCCTGATAATTAAAGGTCATGGTGAGGCCAGAGTAGTCTAATGTGACTGGGCCTAATGTCTTCATCCATAGTGCTCCTAATACCAGATCATATCGACCAACGTGAAACACAACAAGATTTGACATATAAGTAGTGCCTTCCAACATCCACTGGAAATTCTGTACCACACTAGATGTTGCCTCCAATGTATTGTTTCCCAAACTAACATAACTCAGCTTAGTAGGTATAATAGTGCATCCTAGCTTCTTAGCTGATGTTGAATCTATGAAATTATGGGTACTACCCCCATGCAATAGAATTTGAATGGGTCGCTTGTTATTATAACCTGTTACATGGATAGTTTGAGGTCCCTAAATATCAGGTAGAGCACACAATGAAATGTGTGGATGTTCACCCTTAGCAGTGGTCCATTCTTCAGGAGGTAGCTCAGCATCATGCTGAATATTTCCTTCTTCCCTAGAAGAGGATCCTGATGATTCAAGCTCCAATACAAACATCTATTTGGGAAGATTACATTTGTGGCCAACAAAGTATTTTTCATCACAGAAATAACATAGTCATTGTGCCCTCTTTGCTTGCATCTGAGCTGGAGATATAGTCCTTCTGTTCCTAGGTACTACACCATTGGTAGCAATAGGTAAGGCCAGCCTTGGTGTAGGTACTACTGCTTGGTAGGATGTACTACGAACAATTGGATTCTCATAAGAATTTCTCCTAGCAACATAAGCAGTAGAGTGTTTGTGAACTCTGGCATTTGCAGCTAGGGTAGCTTCAACAAGTCTAGCTAACCTACATGTCTTAGCTAGGGTCTTAGGCTCGTGGATCATGATACGATTCACTAATTCCTCCTCCAAACCACCAAGGAAACAGGAGATAGCCTGCTCAACTGTTAGATTACACTGGGCCACTAATCTATCAAAAGCAAATTGAAACTCTCTTATAGACCCTGTTTGTTTCAATTGTTTCAGTTCAAGCATAGGATCAGAGATGTCACCACTAAAGGTTTCAATGAGCTCAGCTATGTACTCATCCCACACAGGTAACACAGGTAAATTCCTACACTTAAGGTATGACTGATGCCAAGCTAATGCCTCATCATCGACATTCATAGCTACTAATCTCACCCTCTGATTGAGAGGAGTTTCATCCTTTGAGAAATGTTGTTCAATTGTATACAACCATGTCTTAAAATTCTCTCCACTAAAATGTTAAGAAAAACTAGGTTATGATTTCGATTAGCATTAACACCGTAAGGGTTGGGACCTAGAATACCCTGACCAGACTGGAGCACTTTGTCCCTAGAAGTCGATGTAAATGCATTATCCTTTGATTGTTGACTAAATTGCAGACCATCGAAGGAGTTTTTGAGAGCACTCACCATCTGCACAAGTTCGGCATGATATTTGTCCAAATCATCTCATAATTCCTGTTGTTTTTGTGCCATTTTTGCCCGCAGATCTAGCTGTTGAGCTGCTAGATCCTCCTACTACTCCTGCAAATCCATGGGTTGATTATCAATCACAACATCAATAGCTCGTCGTAGGCCTATCGTCTACCAAGCTCTGATACCAATTGATATCAAAATTTAGGTACCAAGCCAATGTAATAGTGTAGTCAAGAAAAATGAGAGAAGAACAAGAGAAATAAGAAGAAGATGACAGAATTAAGAGAGATGAAGGAAAGAGAACTGGGATCCAATATAATATTCTGAATGAGTTACATTTCAAATACTTGCTATTTATAAGACTAAAACATGCTAAGGAAATGCAGAAGTAAATGCTAAAATGTAAAAAGTGTGACTCAAGTGATAACCCCTTTTCCTGCCAAAATCTTTAACTAACTTTCAAAATTCCTAATTGCCAATTTATGTATCAGAAAGGACACTAGTCAGGTATAAATAATCGTTCAATTCATCATTCTTATGTTGCTAGATTATTATTTTTTCTATTACTAAAGTTTGGTTACTCTTCTAGAACGAAGTAGGAATAGCTGCTATCAAAATAATTGAGCTTGATGTGGTTCTTGAAGAAGAGCATGTAGTGCAGCATAGGGACATCCAAGATTATGAATTAGACAAGTTTCTATCATACTTTAAGCGGTGTGTCATACCACCAGAAGGAGGTGTTGCATCTGGATTCAAGAAACCAAAGGAGGAAGTATTTGAAATGAGGTTGTATGTCTGTAAGGGTAAACAAGTTGTCTGCATGAAGCAGGTACAGAAGCATAAGTAACTTGTTGCGTAAGCTCATTTGGAAATATGCTATCTTCTTCAGCCGTGGTTGAGAATAATAAGTATATCTGATCTAAGATTTCTATCAGGTCCCTTTTTCGAGGTCCTCGCTAAACCATGATGATGTGTTCATTGTGGACACTGAAGACAAAATATATTAGTTTAGTGGTGCAAACTCCAATATCCTGGAGAGGGATAAAGCAAGTTATTCAGTTACTAAAAGAGACGTATCATGACGAGACGTGTGATGTTGCAATTATTGGTAAGTAGAATCCACAAAGTAAAATACACTGTAGTGTGCAATTCATATATTTTTATTATAAGCTTCAAAATCTGTCAAAATCGCCATAAAAATTTAGGTAGAGTTAAGGAGAATGTACAAGAGAGTGACATAGAAGATTCTCGATCATTTTATGATTTTTTCCAAAAATAACAAAAGCATCTAATGCTGTACATAAAATGATATATATACATTGGGCCTAAACTACTGACCCGTGGACTAAAATAAACCTACTATCTGTACAAAATAAACTTATACAAGTTTGGGCTCATTTGTGCCGCAGCCCAGATGCCATATAGTCTCCAAGTCCAACAATCCCCTCCCTCAAGTTGGAGGGGAAAACCACCTGCAACTTGGAAAGAAACCGATGGTGACTCTGCCAAGCTAATGGCTTGGTAAAGATGTCAGCGAGCTGCTTGGCAATAGGAACATGAGCCAATTGAATCAGGCTATCACCTAACTTGGTCCGAATAAAGTGACAATCCACCTCAAAATATTTGGTACGCTCATGGAAGATAGGGTCCTTTTTTATATGAACAACAACCTGATAATTATCACAAAAAATAGAATCACGAACGGAAATAGAAACATGCAAGTCAGCCAAAAGTCGAACCAGCCAAGTCAATTCTGCTACCACTTTACTAAGAGCTCAATATTTAGCCTCGGCAGAATATAGGGAAACAACAGACTTTTTTTTTATTTCCAACCAATCAAGCTATCACCCTATAAGTACAAAAACCAGTGACAGATCTGCGGGTATCAACACATGTAACCCAATCACCATCTGGATAAGTAGTCAATGTAAGATCACAAGAGTATGAAAAGAACAGTCCAACATCAGGCGTGCCTTTGAGGTATCTCAAAAGGTGCACAACAGCAGACATGTGAGGAACTCTTGGATACTTTAAGAACTGGATAAGATGTTGGATAACAAAACAAATGTCAGGTCAAGTGTGTGTGAGAAAAAGTAATTTTCCAATCAAATTCCTAGAGGTCTTAGGCTTGGCAAGCAAATCACCAGAATCAACAGGCAATTTCTCATGAAGTTCTAAAGGAAACACCACAGAAGAAATATCAGAACAAGCATACTCAGACAACAAATCAGCAATGAACTTCCTTTGGTTCAGCAGTAGACCAAATGAGTAATAAGAAACCTCAGTGCCTAAAAAGCAGTTCAAAGTGCCCAGATCTTTGATTTTGAATTGATCATATAAAATAGTTTAAAATCAAGGATAGCTTGGGGATCATCACCACTCAATATTATTTCATCAACCCTCGGCAAAAAGAGAGTAATCATTGATAGAATGAGTAAAACCTCTAGAACATAAAGCTTGAGATAATTTAGCATATCATTTCCTTGAAGCTTGGTGAAGACCATAAAGAGACTTTCTTAATCTACATACCAGAGGAGCAGAAGAAACAGATGGCCTAGAAACTGAAAGACCATGAGGCAACTTCATGTAAACTTCTTCATTCAAATCACCATGAAAGAATGCATTATTTAACATCTAGTTCAAATAAGAGCCACAATTTTTAATAGCCACTGCTATGAGGTAATTGACAATGGACATCTTCACAACAGGGAAACATGTCGCAGTAAATCAACACCTTTCACTCGTGTGTCACCCCTAATGACAAACCTAACCTTATACCTTTTGACACCACCATCATCTTTATATTTCACCTTATAAATCCATTTGAATCCAATATATTTCTTGCCTTTAGGTAACTCTACAATATCCTAAGTGTGGTTAGCTTTTAGAGCCTTTAATTCCTATCTCTTTGCATCTTGCCAAGAAGGAATAGAGGCTGCCTGAGAATAGGTGCTAGGCCCAAATTCAGCATGCTCAAGAATGGAATGGGAACAAGAAGAGGTGGATGGAAGAGTGCAAACATAGTCCTAAAGATAAGTAGGAAGATGATGTTCCCTAGAAGATCTTCTTATATGAGAAGAGGGAAGAAAAGGTGATGGAATAGAAGGTCAAGCAGGTGAATAAGAAGAGGAAGTGGCATCAGAAGAATAAAAAATGCTAGAAGGGGAAGATGAATCTGCAATAGCAGAAGGAAGAGAGGAAGAAGAAGGTGAAGAAGAATCTGCAGCAGCAGAGGAAGAGGGAGGAGATGGCGGAGAATAAAAAGAATCAGTAGATACACCAGAAGGCACATGAGCAGTATTAGAGACACAAAGAGATGAGATGGAAGTAGCATGAACCACATCTGAATGAGAAAAAGGGAAATAATATTCATGAAATATGACATTCCTAGATATGAAACATTTCTTAGTGGTTAGGTTGTATAGTTTGCATCCCTTTTTAGCAAAGGGACATCCAAGAAAAATGCATGGAATACCCCTGGGATTTAATTTATCTCTGTGCGGTATATGAACTCTGGCATAACACAAACAACCAAAAGACCTCAAATGAGAGTAGGTGGAAACCTTACCATACAACATTTCAAAGAGGGATTTGTCATTGAGAAGTTTGGAGGGTAATCTATTAATGATATATGTGGCTGCCAATAAACAATCACCCCAAACTGCATGGGTAAATTGGATTGAAACAACAATGTTATACATGCTTCAAGAAGGGTTCTATGTTTATTTTCAATCACCCCATTTTGTTGAGGGGTGTAGGGGCAACTAGTCTGATGAATTATTTCATTTTCTGAGTAGAATGTAGAAGCATAAGGACTAGAACCCAGCTCTAAAGCATTGTCACTCCTAATGGTCTGAACTTTAGTATGGAAATGAATCTTATCCACTACAAGAAATGCTTTTATCAAGGGAAAATCATTACTTTTAACCTTCATTAAATGTAGTCCAAGTGGCTCTTATATAATCATCTACAATTGTAAGGAAGTATCTAGCCCTAGAATAAGTTCCTGTATGATAAGGTCCTTAGGTGTCTATGTGTATGAGTTGGAAAGGTTAAGTGGTAGTAATAGAACTATCTAGAAAAAGCAGTCTAGTCTGCCTTGAGATAGGAAAAACATTAGAAATAACAGGCTGTTTAGAAGATAAAGAATGAGATAAACCAAAAATCAGTTTCATCCTAACAAATGGAACATGTGCAAGTCTTTGATGCCAAGACACATCCATATTATTCATTTCAGTAGCATTATAATTAGGGATAATAGTGGACATATTTGGTAAACTAGGACAGCTAGACTTACAAGTGGATGCAGAAACATGAGAAATAGAAATAGAACTAGAAATAGGAGAATTATAGGCAAATTCAGAAGTAGGGACAACACAAGAAGAACCAACAGTATTCATGGAATGCAAATTAGTAAAATATTAGTATTAGGATGGTCTTTTCTAGACAAGCTTGTAAGGACCATTGTCTAGTTTACCAAGATCCAGAGGCTTCTTCAGATAAGGGCATGTGGTATAAGTAAACAAGATTCATAAGCAAATAAGACAAAATGCTTAAATTATTGTATGTTCCTATGCATAGAAATGAGATTGTGCTGGAAAGAATGAATATAAAGAACTTTATGAAGAATGAGAGATGGATGCAAAGCAAAATAACCAATGCTATTCACCTTTACTTTGTATCCATTAGGTAAAGACACAAGATAAGGATAATGTAAAGGAGTAGGATTAGTAAGGAAATCCTTATTAGATATCATGTGGTCAGTAGCTCCAGAATCGATTATTCAAGGTAAGTCTATTATTTGATAAAGCATGCATGAATTAGAACTAGCAGTATTCAATAAGCCACTAGTTAGTAATGTACCGACAAAATTGGTAGATGCCATGAGATTAGACTGAGGGGAAGAATATTACATGAGATTGTTGTAACAAAGTCAACAATTGATTATATTGTTCCATTCATAGACCAGGAATCATGGAACTCTATTCAGAAGAATTGAAACCAGAATGAGAAGAACCATCAGTAATATACCCAGCACCAGGGAATTCAGGTTCAGCACTAGCATTTGCTGCAATTCTTCTTTTCTTAGTAAACTTAAAATTGGAAGGGAAGCCATGAAGCTTGTAACACTTATCAATTAAGTCCCCAGACCTCTTGCAGTACTTGCAAAACATGAGGACTTTGGCCTGACCAACATTTGCCCTTTGGTCAAAATTTATCCTTTGGTTATATTGTTGTTTTGGAGAAGGAGGAGGAAACTTGGAAAAATTGTTGGCAGTTGCATTGAATGATGCTGAATCTGAATTGAATTGAGGACCAGAGATAATGTGCCTCAGACTCTCATCTTGGAGCAGTATTTTGTAAGAAATGCTAAGAGAAGAAAGTGGTTGTCTCATAAGGAGATTACTCCTAAAACTAACATATATTTCAATAAGTCCCATTAAGAATTTATATAACTTGTCCTCCTCCAATTCCTTTTGAAAGGGACAATTACAAGGATTTACAGAACGCCTGTGCATGAAAGACAACTCATCCCACAATCTCTTCAATTTGTTAAAGTAGGATGCTATATCTAGAGATCCTTGACAAGTGGAAGCTAACTCCTTCTTAATCTCAATGATTTTAGTCTCATTGACAGTACCATATCTGGTTTCGAGTTGCTTCCAAATGCATTCAGCAGTTTTGGAATATTGGACGCTCTCAACAATTTCAGGAGATAATGAACTAGTCAACCGGATATCACTATGTTATTACATCTATTCCAAAATTTTAATTCAATAGCATTATCAGAAGGTTTGGGACATATGCCATCTATAAATGCTATTTTATTCTTTACAGACAGAGCAACTATGATCTTTCTCTTCCAAACCCAAACCCGGTACCAGAAAACGGTATAGGCACTAAAGAAGTACCATCAATATTAGACGAATGTATGAATAAAGGACTCGAAGGGTCCGAGGAGTATGTAAAAGTTGAGGTGGTACTATCGCTCAAAGTTATATTGAAATCAACTGAATCATGCCAAATTGATGTGAAAAATTACAATGCAAAACCATAGGGCGACAAAAAGACCAAATACAACATAAAAGGAGTGATAGCAAGGTCAGATTTACCACACTTCATCGCTACCAAAAGAAGAATAACCTTCAAAATTAACAGCAACGGCAAAAATACCAGAAACCAACAAATCCGACGAAGAGCAGATCCAATGAAGATTAGAGAAGATCCATAAAACTATGTGAGGTTACCTTCGGACAAAAGCGAAGTCTGAGATCTACACGGACCTTAGCTATAATACCATGATAAGATCCAAAATCTATGAAATCGGCATGAAAATTTAGCTAGGGTTCAGGAGAATGTACATGAGAGCGAGAGAGAATATTCTCAATCATTTTTGTTTTTCCCAAAAATGACAAAAGCAGCTAATGCAGTACGTAAAATTATATATATATATATACACACACACACATTGGGCCTAAACTACTAAAAGTGGACTAAAATAAACCTACTATCTGTACAAAATAAACTTATACAATTTTGGGCTCATTTGTTTCATGACCCAAATGCATATAGTCTCCAACATATCAGTCATATAGTACCTGAAAACTAGGGTCGAGACTAATTTGACATCTATGAATAGGACTATGAGCATTGATTGATACCACGTTTAACCATTCTATGGATATGTAAGATTCGTGAAACGAAGAATTATATGGACCTGTATGTATCTTGTGATGCCTTTAATTGTTCGATGCAAAAAAACAAAATGATGTACAAATATACATGATATTTGTTTAACTATCAGGGAAAGAGAACTTTTCACAATAAATGCATATTAGTGTCGGAGAGTAACATGAGACAATTAAAATATCGAACAGAATTATTTGCACTTAGTCAATAACTTTGATTAACTAAAAAAGGGAACACACTGTTTTAACGAAATGATACATAATTTGGAGAAGCTCTATCTAAATTGATGTTATCATCCATGTGGATAAACTTTGGGCAGAATTGTTATGCATCTGTAATGTGATGTGCTATTTGTAATAAAGTAATTCACAGTTTCGTTACTTCCCTATAATTATAAAAAATCTTTCTATTGCATATCCCAGATGATGGGAATAATTTGTTCTCTTCAAAGAGGAAAGATAGAGATATTTCCGCCTCTAATGAAGAAGAAGAATAATAAAAAGAAGAAGAAGAGAATGAAGGTTCTCTTGTGAAGAAGCCTCGAACCAGGAGGCAAATTATTTTGGAATATGATCAGAATCGTCTACAAGTTTCGCCATTGGAGACTTCTCCGTTTCATCTTATTGATAAACCAGAAGAATCGAACAATGATGATTTCATATGAGGAAATCACTTAGCCGCTCGTGGCTCCTGCTATCAACTATGTTGATGAGTTGTTTGATTAAGGGTTCGATATCCATAGAGGTGAAGACTATCTTACGGACTTTGCTAATGAAAGTTTTACTCCTACTGCTCCAGCTTCAACCACATCCATACCTGTTCAGATCGAAGATGGCCCTTCAAACATAAGGGAAATGTGGCAGGTGATGGTTGTAGTCCCAGCAAATATTTATTTGCTGAAAAGACCTGGCCGGGATTTTGTTTGGTTGAAGCCTCTATTGGGCCACTTGAGAAGGAGAAGTTGGAGTCTCATTCTTATATCACTCTTGACAATGATATCATGCTTTGTGCCCTTCGGGTATGCTCTCTTTCTTTTGCTTCTATCTTTTCTTTCCTTTATTTATTTTCCTAACTTTTGATGAAGAGAATTGCTCGAAATGAGCAGCATGCAGCAGATTGTCTTTGAAGGTGGACAACTGTAAGGAACAATTTGTAAGTCTCCAACTGAAGAAAGAAGAATCAGAAAAGGAGAATGAGATGCTTCAGCAGCAACTTACATTACTAATCACCGAACTCGTGGTTACAAAAGTTGAGGCGTGACAATCAGAGAAAGAGATTGCGAAGATGGAGGCTGATTTTGCCGAGCAGGACTCCAAGGTCACTGAAGAGGTTCAAAGTTTGAAAGAACTTTTGAACTAAAAATGAAATATATGCGGGTGAACTAGTTTAAGAGTTTACCCAGGCTCAAGAACACCTTCATACCTCCTCTAATAAGGTTAAATGTCTTGAGTCTGCTTTGGAGCCTTTGAAGATCTCCTATGATGCTGCTGAGACTGAGAAAGAAAACTTGCGGGCTGAAGTTGATCAACTGGAAAGGGTGTATGAGGCTCTTGAAGATAAACTAACTGTGGATATTAGTTGGGCTTATCTCCGCACCTGTTTTGAGACTCTGACAACGGCTAGCCAAGAAGTTTTGACCTCGAGGCTGAACTTGCTAAAGTTAAAGTTTCTATTGAAGTATCGCAGCACGATAAAGCTTCTCCACTCACGAGGCAGAAAGTTCTAGGGGTGATGTAAGAAAAAAGGATACATAGGCGGATCTTTAGCCTTTAACTTCAAGTCCCCAAGTAAAACTTCCTTCAACTGGCGATCCTTTTCCAGCTGACAACCTTCCCCCTCAAGATGCTCCTTCCGAGCCTTAGTTTTAATCATTACTGACCTTTTCGTTGATCTTTTTGAAGAAATTTCTTATACCAACTTTTCATATGTTTTATATACATTTTGTTTGAGCTCGTTTAATTTCTCGAGTCTTCTACTGATTTACTTCAATTGAATGAATGTTTTAATGTTGCCACAACTAAGTACATACAGTATTAATCATAAAAGAGGGTCCTTTTATGTAATCGACACTAATGAAGATGACGTCTCACTTCATGTTGGTGTATAAATACGAAATAACTTGAGAAGTTTTCTTTGAACTTTCAATATAAATATTCATGTATACCATCATTACAATTGCTTTCTTGCAGCAAAATCGATTTATTTTACAAGTAGACCTTGGGAGTATTTTTTGCCATGACTATTTTTGTAGTCTCTACTTGAATTGAAAATTTATGGAATTTCCTTCTTCAAAATGCAAATCTACTCCTCCTAAGAATTCTTGAAATTCCCCTCGAAATGTACCCTTAAATAGTCCCCGGTGTTTGAATTTGAAATATGAAAACTTGAACACTGGATCTTCAATTAAATTTCAGAACTTCCCCCCTTGGTCCTTTTTTTGAAAAGGAATCATGTACGTGATTCAGAACTTTTTAGATGAAGACTATGCTTAAACCTTTTCATCAGAATTACTGTAACCTTGATCAAGAATAATAAAATATTCTATGTGTCTTTTTAGGTCTAATGTCATTACTTGATTTGGGTAAGATTTGTGCCTATCATCTAAAAATGTTAGTAAAACTTATATGAACAAATAAATAATAAATTAAAAGATACCTGACCATGAGTACCTTTTAGAAGTAGTACTTCTTTAAATGCACTACATTTCAAT